AACATCTTGTGGTGGAGTGTGTGTCTCTGTCGCGGAGCCATGTCGTTCACTGCTTGTCGGGTCGTCTGGCGCCGCGAGTTCTATGCTGAACTGCAGGGCTGGTGAAAGCCCGCCATTCGCCTTTGCGAACAAGCTGCCCGGTAGTTACTTGGGTCTAAATTTGTCTTCATCTTTCATTTCTCTGAAAAATAAAAATTAAGGGTTTTATTCTACACTGACTTGGATGTTGACGATCTGTCTTTCCTTCGCTAACAGGTGTCATCGTGTGTGACACGGCAAGCAGTTGAATACACGAATATCGAGAGATCGCTTCCCAGACTCTGAAACTGCATATGCGATGATATACTAATTCGCTTGTTTGAGTGCTGCAAGTTGAATTTCTTATGAGAACGAGTCTGGTCATTGCGTCTTTGATATAGTTAAAACGATTTTTTCCAAATTTTATGTGACAGGAGATATACAGAAGCAAGACAACTAAACCAATGAGTAATTTAAATTCTGAGAAAAGATTGTATATCTACCAATCATCATCGTACCTCCAATTCTCTTTTTATACTTCTAAAACACCTTTTACAAAGAAACTACTTAAGCCACATGATTCTCAACTCTCGACTCAAATTATAGATATAGATTAATCATACTCCTCTGATCTTCGTTAACTTGCAATAAGCCAATTAAAATAATTTCTCTTCTGATTCTCTTTTATCACAAATCAATAGATACGTAGCATATGTGACTAGCTGACAATCTATAATAGAAAGAAAACATTATTTCGATACTGTAAAACGAAATTCAATCGTCATTTGAAAATCTTATCTGACTTTTTGACAAATTGTTATTTACTCTTTGTTTCCTTATCCGCATTCCATGAAAGATTTTCCTTAAATTAATATCCACAATAAAAAGTAGGATATAAAAGGTGGATAATGCTAAGCCTGAAAAAATAAATGATAATAATGATAAGCGCGAGGCAGTTTTAAAACTCCCTCAAGCTTATCATGGTTATTATTCCAGGTACAATGATTTTTTTTCTGAAAGCATTTAGAATACGTAGGGCTGAATGTTTAAACGCAATTATTATTATTATATTTGCTATTACTGCTCATATATCATTTATCATTACTATTTTCATTATCACCTTCATTATAATCATTGTCATTATCATTATTAACATTATTGTTATCATTACTCTTACTACTACTACTATTACTACTATGATTGTCATCAATATCATTGTTAGTATCATTATTATTATCATTATCATTATTGCCATCATCATTATCATTACCATTTTTATTACTATTATCATCATTATTATCATTTTTGTTATCATCATCATTATTGCTGTTTTTGTTATGATCATTATTGTTGTGATCATTATCATTACCATAAAACATTAATGTTATTATTATCATCTTTACTGCTATTAATGTTATTGTCATTATTATCCTTATTGTTACCATATCATCATTACAATCATTACCTTTGTCATTATCATTATCATATCATCATTACTATTATCATTATCATCACATTAGAGAGAGAAAGAGAGAGAGAGAGAGAGAGAGAGAGAGAGAGAGAGAGAGAGAGAGAGAGAGAGAGAGAAAGAGAGAGAGAGAGAAGAGAGAGAAAGAAAGAAAAGAAAGAAAGAAAGAAAGAAAGAAAGAGAGGGCGAAAGAGAAAAAGCGAGAGACAGAAAGGTACACAGACAGACAAAGAGAATGACAAGGAGAGTTGGAATTTAAACGATAGCGAGAACACAAAGAGAAAAACAAATGAACGAAAATAAGTAAACAGAGAAAGAGAAAGCATTATGAGAATGAAAATGAGGTCGAATCCTGGGTATCGTTTGCCTTGGGGCTTATTTAGGGCAGTAGAGCCGGGAGGACGCGTTTGGTACCCTATCTAAGAACGCATACGAGGGCCGTGTGTCATGAGGGGCGTGTGTCATGAGGGGCGTGTGTCATGAGGGTCGTGTGTCATGAGGGTCGTGTGTCATGAGGGGCGTGTGTCATAGTGTCATGGACCGTGTGTCATGTGTCGTGTGTCATGAGGGCCGTGTGTCACAGGGGCCGTGTATCCTGAGGGCCGTGTGTCATAAGGGCCGTGTGTCACGACGACCGTGTGTCATAAGGGCCGTATATCAAGAGCTTGTGTCAAGAGCAATTGACCACAAAACCTACTTTATCCACATTAAAGAGTCCAAAGTGAGTCCGGGAAAGATATTATGGATGGCCTTGGTAGATCTTTCGAAGGATGAAATTAAAAATAAAGGAAGTCTCTCGGAATTGGTCTTCAGGAGGAACAAGGTCGAGCCTGATTGGGTCGCGGGAGAACACCTGACGGAGGGAGGGAGGAGGGGTGGAGGGAGGGTGAGTGGGATGGTGGGGGGATGGAGGGAGAGGGAGGAGGAGGAGGAGTTAGAGAGAAGAGGGAGGGAGAAAGCTCGTAGGTTGGTCCTAGAATAAAGAGAAATAGGGAAGGAAGGAGAGAGAAAGTAGAGAGAGAGAGAGAGAGAGAGAAGAGAGAGAGAGAGAGAGAGAGAGAGAGAGAGCAGAGAGAGAGAGAAAAGAAAGAAAAGAAAGAAAGAGAAAGAGAAAAGAGAGAGAGAGAAGATGAGAGAGAGAGAGAGAGAGAGAGAGGAGAGGAGAGAGAGAGAGAGAGAGAGAGAGAGAGAGAGAGAGATGACGGGGTATGGAGCACCTGTCAGGTTATGTGACGTAGCTGCACTCGGTACAATTGCTTTGGCGACAAGCGATGGCAAACCCAGTATACTTAACCGTAAATTAGAAGAGCGATGGATGAGTGCGTGCGTGTGTGTATGTAATACAATGTAAATACAATCTTACGAGAAAGGGGGAGGATAGGGGAGGGGAGGGGGTGGGAAGGAGGGGAGGGTGGGGCGAGGGGGAGGGAGGGGGGTAGGAGGGAGGGAAAGAGATAGACCGGGGAAAGGGAGTGAGGGAGGTTGGGGAGAGAGGAGAGGGGTGGGAGGGTGGTAGTGGTGCGGAGGGAAGGGGGAGAGAGAGCGGTAAGAAAGAGAGAGAAAGGAAGAAAGAGAGAAAGAAAGAGAAAGAGAGAAAAATAGAAATGGAGACGCTGAGACAGAAAAAAAGACAAAGAGAACTAAAGAGAACAGAGAAAATGAAAGAGAACGGTGAATACAAACCAGTTTAAACTTTCTCTTTCAGTCAGCCGCCCGCTCTGTGCTAAGCTGACCTTAACGATGCAGCGCCACATCCAGGCTACGACATATCTTTAGTTGCATAATAGACAGCTATACATTTAAGTTAAAATGCGAACGCCGTGGTTGATATTACGTTTTGGTTTTATTCTCTCCTTCTCTCTTTTCTCTCTTCCATCCCTTCTCTCTTCCTCTTTCCCTTTCTCTCTGTCAGTCTATCTATCTATCTATCCCCCCTCTCTCTCTCTCCCTCTCTCTCTCACCTTCTCTCTCTCCTTCTCTCTCCTTCTCTCTCTCTTTCTCCTCTCCTCTCTTTTCTATGATAATAACTCTACGACATATCTTTAGTGCATAATACAGCTATACATTTAAGTTAAAACGAACGCCATGGTTGATATTAGTTTTGTTTTATTTTTCTCTTTATTTAGTTCGGATGTATACATATGTAGAGAAAAGAGAGGAGAGGAGAGAGAAAGAGAAGGTGAGAGAGAGAAGGTGAGAGAGAGAGGGAGAGAGAGAGAGAGGGGGGGAGGATAGATAGATAGATAGAGAGCGAGAGAGATAGACAGACAGAGAGAAAGAGAAAGAGGAGAGAGAGAAGGGATGGAGAGGAGAAAGAGAGAAAGAGAGAGAAGGAGAGAGAGAGAGATAGAAGGAGAGGAGAGGATAGAGCGAAAAGAGAGGATATGATAGATAGATAGATAGATAGAGAGAAAGAGAAATATATATATATATATATATATATATATATATATATATATATATATGTGTGTGTGTGTGTGTGTGTGTGTGTGTGTGTGTAGAGAGAGAGAGAGAGAGAGAGAGAGAGAGAGAGAGAGAGAGAGAGAGAGAGAGAGAGAGAGAGAGAGAGAGAGAGAGAGAGAGAGAGAGAGAGAGAGAGAGAGAGAAGAGAGAGAGAGAGAGAGAGAGAGAGAGAGAGAGAGAGAGAGAGAGAGAGAGAGAGAGAGAGAGAGAGAGAGAGAGAGAGAGAGAGAGAGAAGAGAGAGAGAGAGAGAGAGAAAAAGAGAGAGAGAAGGAAAGGAGAGGATAGATTGAAAAGAGAGGATATGATAGATAGATAGATAGATAGGCAGAGAGAGAGAGAGAGAAAGCAGTGGGCGTTACCTTCTAATGGCCTTGTCGTGAATAACGATATTGTAAACTGTGTAAGTGTTCGAAGAAAATACTTGATAACTAACAGTAATTACTGCATGTGCGTGTGTATGGAAAGGTAGGTAACTGTACTAGAAGTGTCTTGTTGACTTTCTTTATTCTTATCTTTTATCTTTACATTTTTTCTCTTTTTTGTCCCTCTTCCATCACAACTTCGCCTCGCTTTTTCTATTTGATTATCTTTCTATTTAATTATTCCTTTGTTTATAACTGTTTTTGTGTGTTTCTATCTCTATCTCCAATTCCTTACTTTCCATCTCTTTCTCTTTCAATTTCTCTTTCTTCCCAAGAGATCGATCCTTGCGGCCAAAACTTCATATCGGACTGACTGCTTTTAAATCACCCTCCCCACAAGCAGGTAATAAAACCAGCCGATACCGTTATCGGGGATGTGGCAGCGCGGGCATACCTCAGACAGCTTCAACATACCTTTTATTCAACAACATAATAACCTCCTTTTCGGATATTCAAACAGGCTTTCCCTGTGTGCCCGTAAGTCCTCTGGGTCACCGTGAATGCGTATGACAATTCTTTTTAGAGCATGGCCGTGTGCAGCCCAAGTCCCGGGTGTAGGTTAGTCTGTCGCCTGGCCTGGAGACCTTGTGGTACGAGCCAACTCCCTTGCTTATTTACTCGCGACGGCCGCTACTTATCTAGTCTCGCAGAAGGTGGTGTTGAGGACGGATCCCCCCGTTTACCTTACTCTCTCCTCGCGTGTGTTGGTGTATGTTCGTCTGCGAGTAGAGAAGAGAAAGAGAGAAAGGGACTGTCTGACTCTCTCGTTCTGTGTGTGTGTGTATCAGTGTTTTTCTCTCTCGTAAGACAAAGGACAAGGATTTCGTACCTGCAGGAGTATTTATCGTTAAACGTGCCTAGGTAAGGCTGTGTTACATTCCTCGGTTATAGAACAGGGTCCCAAGGATACAGTTTTTGCCGTCGCTGTACAACATAAGTGTCCTTGATACATTCACTCCCCGGTGATACGTGAGGCAGTGAGTGCGAATGTAGGTAGTCCAGAATGTACCTGTTTCTAATCATCTTTTTAAAGATAAACTTCAGTGAATAACAATCCGATACTGTCTGTAGTAAATATCTTTATCTAAAGTTATACGAAAATAGTGTTTATAACGCCCCTGAATCTTGACGTCTCGTAAAAAAAAAGAAAAAAAAATGTGGAAAAAAATATAGTTTCTAGAGTTTTGTCCTCAACGTCATAGATGTCGTATCTATTTCAAATGCAAGTATCTCATTCAAAATCATCAGCCCAACAGCTAAGAGTTAACTTTGTGAATGACATCTGTTTTGTTTACTTTGAGGAATGTGCCACTCAGTGTGACCTCTCGCCTCGTGTACACGTTCAATTCACAGGCTTTGTAAAATACGCAGATATCAAACGTTCGTATTCATGAATGGTTAAGTTGTAGCCGAGTTAGATAACCTTGGGTGCTAATAGCTATAGTGATGATAATCATTTTAATTTCAAAAACAGTAACAATGATAATGATAACAACAATAATGATATTAATGATGATAACAATGATGATAATAACTCTTGCTGCGATAACGACGATAACAACAGCAGCAACAGTAGAACAATAATAAGAATAGCAATGATATTAATAGTGATATTGATAATAATAATAATAAAGATAGTTAATAATGATGATGTTAATGGCAATGATAATGATGATAATGATAATGATAATGATGATAATAATAATGATAATGATGATAATAATAATAATGATGATAATAATGTTAATAATAATGATAATGATAATAATAATGATGATAATGATAATAATAATGATAAAATAAAACTAATGATAGTTATTTATGGCAATAATGATAATACATATGACAATAGTGACAGAAATAATAATGTCAAAGTAACGATAGCGAAAATAACAAATCAACCATTACATTACGAACACGCCTTAGTAACAGA